TTAAATGGGAGAACTTGCACAATTGGTGGCTGACTAAATACTTTTTTGCCCCACTGTATGTATCTGTATCTGTGTATGTGTATGTATATATGGACACCCACATATGCACACATATGAATATATTGGTTACTGACAGATTTTTGCAGTTTTATTGTTTTCCCTCTGTTCTGTAGAGATGGAATTGCTTGTCATATAACACATTTATAGATACAAAGGGGGAAATCTACGTTATTGTTTTCTATTATGTTTTCTGCCCATGTTATTTTAGAATCTGTTTTGTTGACCGCAACCTAGAGTTCTTTTCTTGATTACAATAATTACCCTTTCAGTTGCTTCATGAATATTGGATGGTCTTGAGAGACCATGTTTCTGCCATTGATGAACTTGCCATGGCCACTGAACGTCTTAGAATGCGTCATCCAGAGGAGCCAAAACCCAATCATCCTGTTCTTCACATAATTGAGCCACATGAGGTGACATTTCTTTATACTTGAAAAGCTGGAATACTGCTTAATAAGCCATGGTGGATCAGTTCATAAAGTATTGAGTTGGGGCTGACCTTATTCAATAATGACGGCCTTGGCACAAGTTGCTACTTAATTTTGAAAGATTGCTTCAGTTGGAGTTAAAATGAAGTGATGTTCTGGTTCAAAATATTGTATAGACCTAATGATTAGCAGTCATTGAGGGCTGCAATCTGAAACTAAAAAGAACTAACATCCAACACTGCTATTTCTTAATCTTTTGTAGTATCTCTTTTGTATTATAATGTTGGAAGTTATATACCTCAGATCTGTTTGTATATAGCAGATAGGTTGCTCTTCAGCCTTAATGGTTCTTCAAAGTTGTTTACAATAAATACACCATAAAGTAATTCAAAATTAAAATAATTCCATTTTAAACTAGTTCAAGAGGAGCAACAGTAGGATAATTAAAATACATCATATCATATATGTTATACACTCTGCTCTTCACCTGAATTTCCTGATCGCTGCAAATGATGGGTGTTGAAGGACAGAATGATTTTAAACAAAATAGATCTCTGTTAATTAGCAATAATGCTAAAGAAGATGGTATATGCTACAAAGTCTTTCCACAATATAATAAGAGATTTATGAAAATAAACTTGGTTTCCAGGTAGAACAAAATCGAGTGAAACTTTTGAATGACAAAGCAGTTGCCAAATCACAGCTCCAGAAGAAACTAGGCCAGCTACTCTACCTCACTAATTTAGAAAAGGTAAGATTGAACTTTCCTGGGCTTACATTATGCTATTGCCTAATGCATTGAAACATCCTTCCCCAGTCAGTGCTGTCCAGATGCATTGGTTGTGAGCCTCTACAGTTTTTGGCCATAAACTGAAGACCGATAGAGTGGGAAAATGCCAGGGCAGGAGAAATTATCTTTAGTATTTTGAAGATAGAATTTTCCCTTGAAACCTATTTCATGGAATTTTAATGACTAAAAGATAGTGTCTGTTGACTGTATTTAAACAACACAAAAAGCATTGCTTACAGTTGTGAACTCACTAGGATCATGCCGGGTAATTCCAGCCTGCCTCTATAATTGCTGCTGATAAGGTTGTTTCAGGTTTGCATTGTCTATCCAGAGTTGCTATCTAGTTTAAGGCTTAATGTGTTACCTGTCTGCAGATTTCTCTTGCTAACTAGAGAAACAAATCTAAAATAATCCATAGCTATTTTAACCATATTTACTAATATATAATTGTATATTACATTGTAAAACCCTGATTCTAAGAAAATGTGCACATTTAGGCCATCTGACTCCTTGATGACTCTGGGTGGCTTACAAATAAAAACAATATATATATGAGAAAGAACACAATTGACTAGAAGAACAGGACACTAACTATAAACCAGCCATAGTGGCAAGGGGCTCCACAATCACTGTGTCCCCAATTGTCCCCTTTAACAATGTGCTAAATCAATAAGGGTGGGAGCCACAGAAATCTCTACGGGGACGTTGTTCTGTTAAGACATTGTTCAAGAGGGCAAGTATTGCAGCACAGTAGGCACACTTCCAGGGTCCCACAAGATGGCATTGTTTAATTGACAGGACCTGGAGCACATCCATCGTGCTTGACTACCAGGCGGGCAAAGACGAGATATGTGGTTCCATTTTAATGTATTGTTCCATTGTTACTTGCCCCATAGACGCTTGAATTAAGAGTGAATTTAAAAACAGTTTATCACTCAACACAAAGAGATATGGGCTTCATTTTCTTTAAATTACCTCTCATATTAGCTCTGAAACATATTTATAAGTTCATCATGCTGGCTCTCAAGTGACACTGGTCACTGTATTGTTCATACTATAACATACTTTCCAGCTGTACTCTACTTTGAAATATTTCCATCGCTATGCATAACGCTTTTTCTAGTTCTATTTCTGGCTCTTTGGATTCATGCACATTCTTTCATTTTTTGGGGTACTATGTCATGTTATTATGAAAGATTATTATGAAAGAAGAACATATTTGATTAATAAAAATGAATAGTGTTAACATCAAATTACTTAGATAATTATTTTAAGCAGTACATAATTGATTTTTACTCTCTCAGTAAAAATGCTTTTCTTTAATGTTCACATAGTCTCAAGATAAAACAACTGGAGGAGTTAATCCAGAACCCTGCCCAATTTGTGCACGGCAGCTGGGAAAACAGGTAAAATTTCCTGTATGGCCTTTTCTGTAGATAGTTTAGTTCATTATTGGCATACTTGAAATAATTTTCTTTATCCAAAATTTGCTTGTGTGCAGTCTCAAAACTGTACTTATAAATCTGTTGTCTTTTGAAACAGGCCTATATGGTTATAATTCTGTATTCATTAAAAAAATTATTCTGTTGGACCATATAGCTGCCAAACGTAGAATGTGTATGCAATTTTGCTTCTTAAAGATCTCAAGTATTATAATTTTCATATGGAAATATATTTATACTTAAACATCTAGCTCTTAAAACTCTGAAAATAGCTATTGAAGTATATTTTACTACCTGATGAAACACCAGGCAGCTGAGCAGATTTTCTAGGTATCTGTAGAATTTCAGTGTTGTGTATAAATTTTTGTCCTTTTTTTAATATTAAAAGCTGATGACAACATAAGTAGTTATATGCAAATCTGCATAATTAGCTGTTCTGGTTTCAACTAATGTTTGCACATTCTACAGTCACAAAAAGCCTTGGCTATGGCTGTTCAAACTCCTCTGAATGTTATAGCTAAATTCTAATTTCTAATATGATAGAAAAGAAAGGCTGGTACAGTAAATGCACGGGTTGTATTTAAGTAAATTTAATTTAAAGTTTTTTCAAATTCAAGCAAAGTTATTTTTTGTCCTGGGAGTTAACACTTTTGGGACTTCTCATTCAGAGAATGAGTGTCCACCCTGTCATCCAAACTGTAAAACCCTGCCTCAGAGGTTTGATTTTTTGTTTGTTTTGATATTTATGTGTATGGTACAAGCTGCCCTGTTATTTGCCCCACCATCATTTTATGTGACCGTAATCAACAATAAATACCATGAAGCAATCAAAGAAATCCAGGACTTGTATCTCAGTTTTTACAGGCTTTCACTATTTTTAACATTGTGTTTAAATTTGTGTGAGAGCTCTATCATTAGACACCTGACCATATGTTCAGGCTGGCCGGTTAAATTAAAAATCTAATGTGTATGCATCTTTTCACTTTTTTTAAACAACTGAGTAGTCCCTTTTTAGTTTTCATGTTTGTTTATGTGAACTACAAATAAGCTCTTACTCTTCTTTTTCTCCATCTAGTGGGCAGTGTTGACATGTGGACATTGTTTCTGCAATGAGTGCATAGCTATTATTATAGAACAATATAGTGTTGGCACCCGCAGAAGTTCAATCAAGTGCGCCATCTGCAGGCAAACAACTTTACATAAAGAAATCTCCTACGTCTTCACAGCAGAGACTGCAAACCAGGAGGATGATATACCTGTGAAGGTAGACTGCTTTCCTTTTTTTTTTAATTAATGCAAATTATTCATGATTTCATTAGGAAAGTTTTACTTTTTAAAAAATATTTTTTATCCGGCTTTTATTATTTTTTTATAAATAACTCAAGGCAGTGAACATACCTAATACTCCTTCTTCCTCCTATTTTCCTACAACCACCACCCTGTGAGGTGAGTTGGGCTGAGAGAGAGTGACTGGCCCAAAGTCATCCAGCCAGCTTTGCTTTATTTGGAAGTAGGTTTTGTGGAATTAGTAGTTTTCACAACATTTTTGTCAAAATATAGGGTGAAATTTAAGATTTCTTTGTAATTCAATAAGTTAGTCTAGTGCTTAAGTCCATTATCCAAAGCAACTGGGCATATCAGTTGGCTGGATCATGTTCATGGGTAGAGTTTCATAATATCTTTATAGCCACACAAAGCATCTCAGGTCATATGCCTGTGTGTTATATATATTTTTGAAGAGTTTCCTGGTATACTTGAATTAATATGCTATAAATAGATAGTGTGGTAAAACAAATACACATAATGTTACTGTGTAATTTTATCATGATCTATACTGTATAAATGAAAACTAATTTTTATTTTCCTTCTCTTGAAAGGGAAGCCACTCAACTAAAGTGGAAGCTGTGGTTAGAACTTTAAAGAAAATTCAGTTCAAAGATCCAGGGGCAAAATCTCTAGTTTTCTCAACGGTATTTCTAACATTCTAAAATTATAAATGACCATTTTGTGAATGTATTGTACAACTAGATTCTTGTGTACTGATAAATGAAATGTGAATTGATTGAAGCTAAAATTAGTCAATACTGACAATTGTATATTTGTACTACTACCTATTTTTGATGTTGGAAGCAATAAACAGGCTTCCTAGTATGTAAATAACTGCCTCTTATATTTTGCAGTGGCAAGATGTGCTTGATATCATTGCAAAAGCTTTACACGATAACAACATGGACTTTGCTCAAATCAATGGAATTCACAAATTTCAGGTATTGATTGCATTATCATTATTATATACTTCCTTTTTTCTTTCTTCTTAAAACCAATATAGAAAGGATAACAGATATTTGTGCCAAAGTATTTGAACTGATTAAATTAATTTAGTTTCTAAAGTAACCATAGTACTGTAAATTAAAAAACAAACCAGGAAAGATAAATAAGACATTAGGTTGCAGAATAAGAACCAGTGCAAATTTAGCATCCACCATCAGTTAATTCTGGTTTGATGCAAATGAGGAATTAATGCCCCCATAATCTAGATGGTAGGGAACAAGTGAGTGAGATTTTATCTTATCTAGCTTCTCATTCTTTCCAGCCATTTTCCTATCTTTGCTCAAAATAGTGATCTGTTTCCTCTCTAATTATTTCCTCATGAGGCCTGTCTGTTACACTTCTTGATTATTTTGTTTTATTCTTACCTGAATTACTTCTTTGTTTACTACAAAAAATGCAAACACAGTTTTAGGCTAAATTAAAATAATTATAATTTTCAAATCACAGTAATTGATCATTCTATTTTATTCTGCTTTGGTCAGACCTTACCACAAATCCTGTATCCATTTCAAGGTACCACACTTAAAGAACAATTCAGAGAAACTGAAAGAGATTCAGAAAAAGACAACTAGGTCCTATAAATAGAGGAACCGGGTTGTATTGTTTTGTTTTGTTTAGCTTTGAATAGAGTGTAAGTGGATATTATGGCACTCTTCAAATACCCAAAAGGCTCATTTCACTTTTAAAAAAGTCTTCTTAACATTAGGAGCAATTTGATAATGAAATCAACTACCCAGTGATGTGTGCTACTCTTCACTGGATGTCTTCAAGCAAAGGCTAGATAGCAGTCCATCAGGGATACTTTAAGTTGGATTTAGCAGCCTAAATGGCCCTTTGCAAGATTCTGTTATTCTCTAGAAATAAGTACACATATCTCATGAGTCCTCAAGAAGATCAAATCGGGGATAACAGATATTTTTAATTGTTCCTTAGTGGCCATATTGGCCATGTTTTTTGATGATTCTACAGTTATCAAAAGGTGCTCCAGTCTTTCTGCTAGTCATTCCAGATTGGATCTTAGAAGGTCCATTCTTGTAGTCTTCTACTTGAAGATCTGTGATTCTGCACAGCTAGCAGTTTTTGGCATAATTACAGAATCACAGATAAATAATTCTGTAGTTCTAAAGTGTACAGTTTTAACCTGCCATATTGACTTAAAGCTTGAATGTTTTTGGCCTGCAATCTTCAGAAGCTATCTGAACCGACTGGGGATATGGCTCATTCCACCAAGGCAACCTCAACTTCAGCAGTGAATGCTCTGTATGGCAGACACCTAGATATCTTCCAGTTCTTGCATTGCAAGTTTGATGTCCTGGCTATCTTTGGAAGAAAAGTTTTGGAATAAACATTTTACATCAGCCTGTTTTTCCTCATTAAATTCTATTTGGCATCAAAAAAATCTTGGCCTCACTAGGAACTAACCACTTATGGGTCACCCTAACCCCATCCTTTCAGTTGTTGGCTCTGGTATAACATGTTTACGTGATCATTTATTTTATACCAAATGGTGGAAATAACTGAATACTTATTGAGAAAGATATCTCTCATTTGATGTGAAGGAGAGACATCTACGCTCCACTTTGGAAGTGTCTGGGAACCAAAAAAAAAAGAGTTTTTGTTTTGTTTTCAGGCTTGTGCAGTACTATGATGGGGTTTTTTGCTCATTCATCTTCCTGCTTTGCTCATCTCAGTTATGGGCTCTTCCATAGATGCATTAGTTGCAGCTTTGATAGAAAAGGAATTAGAAGGAACAAGAAGTCAGAGAGTGCATGAATATCTGGGTTATGTGTTCCTGGTAGATTAGTCCATTGTGTGGATACCTTCTTCATATCAAACAGGAAGTAATTTTCATGGTAGGAACACAGTGTTTCTGTTTTAACTGCATGTTATTCTTACAAATTGTGAATGGACACAGTTGAGCAGCTTTTAATAACTTCTAGTAATTTTAATCCTTGAGATCATTACAGGGAGAAAAGGCTATGGCAAGGCTACAGTTCTTTCTGCCTGGAACTGTATCCATTCTACTGTCTCACTATCAGGCATCTTCATTGTGGTAAGCCATGGAGGAGACTTTGGGGAAAATATGCATTACAAAAACAAAAAGTCCAGAAGCATTCCTTGAGTCCTGGGAAAGAAGAAAGGAAGGGACTCAGGCTGTCTCCTCCCTGACTCCCTGGGATATAACATGGAGGGAAAAGAAAACACAATCAGGTTTGCAGGATTATTTATCTCAGTAAAGCATAGTTCTAGTCATTTTATGGAGTCTTGTTTCCTGATCTGGACAACTTCTAAGGGCTGACATAGTCACTTCCTATCATCTCTTATCCCACTTATCTTCCTGTTTATTTTCAAAACGAGGATTAACGGTATTTTTTTATTGCAATTGAATTATTTGTATTTGTATAATTTTACTGCAGAGAAAAGCAGGGTATACATTTTACTAAAAATCAATATATTTTATATCTGCAAATTCTGGGGACCAGCTTTAGTTCTACCATGGAATAAAGTACAAGCATGCTTTTTTTTTTGGATGAAGTTAATTTTGGATAACCTTAGGCAAACTGAAACCAATCTCAGATTCCATTTAAATGGAAACTTATTGCAGTTAATGCAGGTGATGAGTTGTTTAAGCTGATTAATTCAAAAGTGGAGGGTAATTTATCCATAGTATCATGGGAATCATTTATTAGTCATGGATAACAAGGAGCCCATGTTATATTTGCACATCATATTTGGCTGTTCTGTATGTGTAAAGGAGTTAGGATTTCCTGTCACTAACCTGTTACATTTATTAAATATACTGAAAAATTGTGAATTTATATTTGTTTCCCCACCAAATATCCTTCACTGAAATATTTTTATTTTCCAGGAAAACCTCTCTGCATTTAAATATGATCCCAAGATCAACATACTGCTTTTGCCTCTCCATACGGGTTCTAATGGTCTAAACATAATTGAAGCAACTCAGGTACTGCTGGTTGAGCCCATATTGAATCCAGCCCATGAGTTACAGGCCATTGGCAGAGTGCATCGTATTGGGCAAACTAAGTATGTTCTAAAATCCATCTGGCTCATGTAATTTAACTCCATCTTCATAAAGGTTTAGAGGCTCTCCTTTTTGCCCACCAGTGAGTTTTACATACCAATCAATTACACCCACTTATTTTGGCTGTCTTGTTCTTTTTTCCCCCTCCCAATGAATTAGGGTTAGGATTAGGATTATCAATCAGTTGTTGACAGTTACCTCTGTGAATTTATGTACAGTGGTACCTCGGGATACGAACTTAATCCGTTCCGTGACTCTGGACGTATCCCGAGTTGGATGTAACCCGAAGCAC